TGAAAAGGGAATCTCAGGGCTGGCTGCCGTACATACTTCTCCCTCCCCCAGCCCCAACAGGTGATATATCTGGAAGCTAAGCGTCAAACAATAAAGGCAGAAAGTAGTGCTTGCTACAGCTTGTGACCTAGGAACTGCAAGCCTCATGTGTGACGATTTGGGGATTCTATGTACAACTTACTCCAGTTGGATTTTATGAGCAGTCTGTATTCTTAGGTCTTAAACTGTCTCTTTCTGTGTTCTGCCTCATGCTCCTTGTTGAGCTAAGGAGACCCGGGAGTGGTATCAGCATGTTTGTCTATGAATAGATTGGTCTATTAAAAGCTGAGAGGGACTCAAGGAAACTTGGGGCAAGAGAGGGGCATGTTTTTGTAGCAGAAGGATCCTTTTTTTTACTGAGGGGCCATCTGAATAAGAAAGAAGCTGGCTGCAGGAAAGAAGGGGGAGAAATATCCTGTGAATCAGGGGAAAAGCCTTCTGAAGGACGGGGGGTACTTGGATGTCCCAGAGGACTCTGGCCAAATCAAGACTGGTGAGGAAACTGAGGCAGGAAGGGAGGGGGCATAGGTCTTTATTGTTTTGTCTAAGTTTGTATATTTCTTGTGCTAGCTAAAGCCAGGAATAACTGTGTTACAAACTTTTACAAAGCCTGTTTGTTATCCCTGAAGAGGTAAACTCTAACCCAGACTGCTCACAAGGCTGGAGCTCTGGGGAAGGATGTGCTTACGCCACTGACGTGTCTTTGTGGGGAAGGGATCTGCTTTAGTCCTGGGGGCCTATGGCAACTGCCCTGTGAGTTCCCTTCTGTGATAGAATATGTGCCCAAGAAGTGTGCCAGAGAGGCCAAAGAAAAAGACGGTGCTTGAACCCACACAGAGCAAGGGAAGCTGATGAGCACAAAGATCTAGTGTGGTGTAGGGTTGCCAATTTTTTTTTATTTGATGAATTCCTGGAGATTTCATCACGTGACATTATCTTTAATTCCTGGAGACTCCAGGGCAACCCTAGTGTGGTGGGACCCAAAAACAGCAGCTGGGTGAATGTGCAGCAGGGGGTGATGACATCATGCATGCAATACAGGCTGGTTCCCACTGGTGATGAGATAAGGCCTTGCTTTCATCAGAACTTTAATAGACCAGGCTCTAACTTCTCTCCACTCAAGGCAAAGGTGTATGGAGAAGCCTGTGCTTTGTTAGCAAGTTTGCAGAGAAACAGATCTGGAGAATAAATGTGCTTCTACCCAAAGCAGCCTCGCAACCTACAAGTTTTAAAAAGTGATTAGCTAAGATCACTGACATGCTTCCAGGAGAGCAACGGACGGGGGAGGGGGGAATGATTATTTCCCAAAACTCTACCTAAAAACCAAGCCCCACACACTTGTGACACCAAAATAAGATGCTACTCTCAAGCAGGTTGTGCAGATCTTCCTACTATGACCATTTCTCTTTCTTGCATTTTATTGTCACAATTAGATTTCACAGTTAATAAAATTACACGAATGGGAGCCATTCTCAGCTCTCCACCCTACGTTTTGAAGACTTTTATCTGTAACCATAAAGGCTTGAAACTTTAGACTTTCATTTCATAAACAGGCTTTGAAATGGCAGGTTGGCATTTTGTTTTTAATATCAATAGAACTGAGCCAAAACCCCAGGTCAGATGAGAGGAGAACACCCATTAGCATTGGGGAGTTCCAAATAGAGATCTGATTGTAGTCTGAACCCATTGTTTGTTTTTTAACAGCTGTCCTTATTACACTCAAAATGATCACGTGCATAGATGGCAGTCGGATAAAGGAGCAAATTCTGCCTTCAGATAGGGAGACTTGAATGCACATCTGTATCTCAAGGATACTATACATAGAGGGATGTAGCACTCAGAAGCTGATTGAAGCAAGGCAGATCCAGGTCCCTTCTCTCTTTCCTGTAGAGAAAAGGGGGGAAATCATTCTGTAGAAATCTGAAGCTAAGGCATGCAGCAGGACAGAGAGGAGTTTGAAATAGTGCATGTTGGGAGTTTTGCGGGGAATCGGGATGATATTAAAGGAAACATTTGTGCAGCTTTCTGGACGGAAATGTATTGGACTATTGGATAGTCTCCGGATTGGAAGTGGCTGAAGCTCTGTCACTTCAGACTTTTAAAATCAGAGCACACAAAACACTAGAAAATTTCTGTGCAACCCAATCCCTACATGGGCACGGAGACAGGCTTTTCCACCTCTGACTCTGTGGTTCAAAACTCATTGCACTCACTTCTTAAGCTAGATTCTTCTGTGGTGGTGTTGCTGTGTTATATAGCATCACTAGATGTCAGCATTGAGTTTAGCGAAGAGAGAAGCAATGCAAAATGGAGTTCACAAGGGGGCGGGGGAGGGAATTAATAATCAGCTTAACACCACAATCCACCTTCATTTTTCAAAAGGAGGATAAAGTTCAAAAAAATATCTTGTGGGGAAATGGCTTAACAGTGAGTACTTGAATTATTTTCCTCTGGCGCCGCATAAACAGACTGATTCTCTGCACCTGCGTTTTCTGTGCATTAAGCCCAGATATACAGCACATACTGTACTGTATATTATTTTGATTCAAAGCCTTGCCAGTAGTGGAAGATGATGTTAAAATGAGATGTTTTCCCCCGTCTGTTCATTATAATGTTAAATAGCCACATGGATTAAAACTCATTTTGAACATCAAATCCAGCTGTTCTTACTCATACAAAGCTGTTACGAAGCCCATGAGAGCGCTCTCTGAGGAAGAGATATAGGATTTGGCCCAGAGTGTTAGCAATAACAACTGTGGCTGGGGTTTTCAAAAGGCAACCTAAGGTAGTTAGGCACCCAACCCCCACTGAATTGCAGTGGGATCTATGTGCCTAACTCCCTCAGGGTCCCAGCTTGTGTGTCCATCTTCGAGCCAAATACTTGAGTTGGCCCAGAGGTGCTGCCTGTGGTTAAGTTGTGGTTACTTTATTATTCAAAGTGTGCATAAACCTACCACTGGGTTAGGTCACTGTCAACCACCAAACCACAGCTGTGGTTTTAGATTGCTAAAAAGCTACAGCATCCTCACACAGTGAGTCTGCAACTCAGTTGCTGCAATTGTTGTTTGTGGCTTACTGCTCCCACTGCATGATTTCTGTAACTGTTGTTCCCATCCTGCCCCCCTGCCTTGCACCATCTCAAACAGCTCAGAATGCAGGTAAATGCCACCCCACCTCCCTCCTATCTCAAGCACAGGTCAGTTGCAACTCTTGTCTGCAACATGACAAATCTCTGCATAGAGGAGGGTTGGGGAAGGGGCAGATGAAGATGGCTGTGGTCTTATACATTATACAAACATCTTTCAGCCTGATGGATACCAGTGTGCGTTGCAAGCTGCAAACAGCGATCACATCATCCATCCCTAAAACATAGCTTCCTTTGGGGTGAAACAGAGCAATTATTTAACAGGGCACGGCAATGCTGCACAAAATATATGACAAGGTGCAGAGGGGCCAGCAGGCAAAGAGTTATTTCACTGTTCAAGTCTTCTGCAGGTGTAAAAGGGTGGCTAATGAGAGGGGAGCTGGTGGCCTAATTAGGAAGTCTTGTGCAAGCTATGAAGCTTTTCCCCTAGTAGTCTAGTCATATGAGTGTTGCAGTGTTTGTAGCTTGAGTAAGGACTTAGCTGCTCTGTGAAAGCTGGTTAATGCTATGCCTGGTCTTCTAGAGAAAAGTCTATCCTGGTAAGAGACAGATTCTTTTTGTTTTATATTGATTCTGTGGGTTGGCTCCATTTTATGGGTAAGAAAAGAACATCTTCCCTAATTGAAAGAGCAGTGGGAGTTTAGGTATGAAGTATAACAAGCTAATCTGGAGTTTGGTTAGGACACTGGTGTTAATAATCCCCTGCTCTTATAAAGGGGAGGAATTTAATGATGCCTGCATTTAGGACCTGAGTATTAATGCTGGCTTTTGTTCAAAATATGTCTATTTCTTCACCACTGCCCAATTGCTAGTCTGAGGCTTAGGGACAGATGTATAGACAATGTAAGTGTTCTGGTTCTGCTCTGAATAGATGAGGCACAGAAGGCAGAGTGTAACAGTTCATGGTTGTCTTTAATTATTCATAACTGGACCCTGCAGATAATGGGAACTTGAGTAGGTACAATGGGGAAATCCATCTGTTAACCAGTGTTTTGAACTACAAAGCTGGCCAAGAGCGGATGCACATGGGATCAATAGTGGCTAGTGTATTTGAAAATCACACATGCCATTCCCCACTCAGTTGGATCAGGTGCAAGCAGGCAATATGCCACCCTGCCATAGTATACAATCCGCCAAGGAGCCAATGTTCCTCTTGTCTCTTACAAAGATCCAGCATGAGGAAGCCACACCTACAGCCTGGATGGGAAACCTGAGGGGTTCGTTCTCTCTCTCTCTGTCTCTCTCTCTCTCTCTCACACACACACACGTTTTCCTGTCTCTTTTTACTTGCAAGACTTGGCCCTTCCAGTGGTTCTCAAACTGGGGGTTGGGACCCCTCAGGGGGTCATGAGGTTATTACAGGGGGAGGTCACGAGCTGACAGCCTCCATCCTAAACCCTGCTTTGCCTCCAGCATTTATACTGGTGTTACATTCAAAACCACTTTTTAATATTTATGGGGGGGCGCACACTCAGAGGCTTGCTATATGAAAGGGGTCGGGTCACCAGTACAAAAGTTTGAGAACCACTGGATTAAACAGTGAGTGGGGAGGAGGTTTCCAAGACAGGGCCATGATCATGGCACAAAACAGCCCCATCTTGTTCTCCTCCCCTCTGGCAAGTCAGACGGCAAGGCTTGCACATGCAAACCCCCCCGGACTGGTTCCAGGCAGGGGGTGGGTGGGTGAGCTCGTGCTCCACAGACAGGGCTGCATGTCCCCATCCCAGGACCCCACCGCCCTTGCAAGCTGCTCCAGCTGCAGCCTATCGCCTGGGTTATATGTTCTCCCGCCTCTTCAGGGGGTGGGCCGGCGCTGGGGGTGTTCCCCCCCTTGCACGGGAGAGCAGCCCGGGAGGAGACAGGAGCGAGCCAATCCTAGAGGAGGAAGGAAACAGCGCGCAATTTAAATCCGCAGGCGATTGACGATTCACTGGGCAGCAGCCGGTGCAAGTCGGGCCGGGCTGGGAGCGGCGGGTGAGTCTGGTGCAAGGGGGCAGCCTTGGGTGGGGGGACCCTTCCCTGCGGCGGCGGCTGGGGGACCGCCGGGGTTACGGGGGGAGGGAGGAAGCTGAAGGCGCTACAGTGTTGCAAGCCCAGGGCCCTCCAGGAACAAAGGGCTGGGAAGCAGCCGGCGCCTCACCCGTGGCCAAGGGCGGGGTGGGGGGCATGCCCCCCCCCCGGGCTCTAGCCAAGCCCTCAGCCTCTGCATTGTGCCCTGGCTGCTGGGGTTTGGCTGGCGAGCTGTTTGCTCCCCGTGCCCGTGCCAGCATCCCCATCCCTGGCTTCCCCCAGTCCTGCCCCACCACCATCGTCCCTGCTACCAGGTAGAACCGTGACTCTGCCAGCCATCCCCCGGCCCCTGCTCGTGTGGACTGGCCTGGGGCTCAGGCCAGCTCCGATCCAGAACAGTGTGTGTAGTCAGGGTGCGGAGCGCCATTGAACCAAACTGTGAACCCTGCCTATGATGGAAACCCCTTCAAACCAGGGGGTGCGGCAGCGCCCCTTGTTCTAGCCCAGGGGTAGGCAACCTCTGGCACCCGTGCGGCACGCAAGCTGATTTTCAGTGGCACTCGCCCTGCCTGGGTCCTGGCCACCGGTCCGGGGGCTCTGCATTTTAATGTAATTTTAAATGAAGCATCTTAAACGTTTTTAAAACCTTATTTACTTTACATACAACAATAGTTTCATTCTATATTATAGACTTAGAGAGAGACCTTCTAAAAATGTTAAAATGTATTACTGGCACACACAACCTTAAATTAGAGTGAATAAATGAAGACTCGGCACCCCACTTCTGAAAGGTTGCCGACCCCTGTTCTAACACCTATGCTGGCTTCTGTTCCTTTCTCTGGATGACTGTGGGTTATGTCCTGCTCTGTGCCTCAGTTTCCCTATCTATCAAATGTGGAATAATGGTACAGACCTACCTTTTAGCTGTAGATATCAAAGTGCTATATAAAAGCTAAGAAGTGGTGGTGTAATCTGAGAGTTCATTACAGATTACTTGCCCTGTCTGCTTTTGGTCTTCTATTGTCAGCACTTCCAGGGTGTGTGTGTGTGTACAAAGGGTCTAGAACAGGGGTTCTCAAACTGGGACCCCTCAAGGGGTTGCGAGGCTATTACATGGGGGGTCGTGAGCTGTCAGCCTCCACCCCAAACTCCGCTTTGCCTCCAGCATTGATAGTGGTGTTAAATATATAAAAAGGTGTTTTTAATTTATTTGGGGGGGGGGTCGCACTCAGAGGCTTGCTATGTGAAAGGGGTCACCAGTACAAAAGTTTGAGAACCACTGGCCTAGAACAAATTGTGAGGGAGTTTATGGAGGTCCTGTAGAACCTCAACATTAAAAACTCCTCGGGAGTGGAGGTTGTTCATAACTCTGAAATGTTTGTAACTCTGAACAAAACATTATGGTTGTTCTTTCAAAAGTTTACAACTGAACATTGACTTAATACAGCTTTGAAACTTTACTGTGCAAAAGAAAAATGCTTCTTTTAACCATCTTAATTTAAAAGAAACAAGCACAGAAACAGTTTCCTTACCTTGTCAAATTCTTTTTTTTTTTTAAACTTTTCTCTTAATTATTTTTAGTAGTTTAACACCGTATTTCCTGCTGGTTTTTGTTTTTTGTTTTGTTTTGTCTCTGCTGCTGCCTGATTGCATACTTCCAGTTCCAAGTGAGGTGTATGGTTGACCTGTCAGTTTGTAACTCTGGTGTTTGTAATTCTGAAGCTCTACTGTAAAGGGTGTAATGTAACATGGGTTAACTAGAGGTAGATCATGCCAGACTAACTTGATTTCCTTCTTTGAGAAAATAGTTGCGGTTTTTTTGTTTTTTTAAAGATAAGGAAAGTGCAGTAGATTTAATACACTTGGACTTCAGTAAAGCATTTGACACAGTACCACATGAGAAATAATTAGATATTATTGGGGATCGGTGCAAAAATTGTAAGGTGGATCAGGAACTGGCTGAAGGGGAGAAAGCTGTAAGTTTTTGGTGAAAGATGAATTGGACTAGAGAGAGGTTAGTCATAGAGTTCCTCAAGGATGGGTTTTTGGGACTAGGGTTTTAGCCAGCCACCTACAGGAGTCAGGACGGGATTCTCGCCTTCTCTACCCTGCCCATCCCCCACATAATGTATTATGGATGAGTTGGTTTTGATCTACTTCCTCTGAAGCCTCGGAGATGGCCACAGCTAGAGATAGGACACTGGACAAAGCTCTGAGGTGCCATGGAGCATTCTCTCTCTCTCTCTCTCTCTCTCTCTCTCTCATGTGCTTGGCTGTCTTGTTCTTGCTTACATGCTCAGGATCTAACCAATCTCAGGATGTGGGGCCAGGAAGGAATTCTCCTCAGGTCAGATTGGCAGACACCTCAGGATTTTTATTTTTTTGCCTTCTGTGACACTGGGGTGGGGGCCTCAGACATTGGTGCCCCTAGGTCCCTGTGGCATAAATCTAGTCTCAGGTTGTCATACTTTGGTCTAATTTCAGTTATTGGGTTTAATGGGTGGGTGCTAGTGGCCTGTGATACCCAGGAGATCAGACTAGATAAGGCCAAAAAGGACCAGCAGATTAAACAGTGTGACACTGGGCCTCTGAGAATTTTTTTGGACACTACTGTAAATGACTGAACGTGTGTGAGCGCCGAGGATGCAGCTGTGGGGTTATTTGTTGCCCACATCCAGTGGTGACCGTATACGGTAGGAGAATCCCAGTAAAAAGATATCTGAGATGGGCATTTGCACTGCTTATATTCACTACGCTTCTGGTGTTTGTTGCAAGACTCTCAGTGAAGAATAACAGAAGGATTGATACACAGGGCCACAGCTGTATTAAACATCACTGGGTACAGAAGTGTGTATCCTGGAAGAGAGTAGGTCAGGAACTTAACAGAGGTATATAAAGCTACTGTCAGAGAAAATCAAAGTTAAATTTTATCAATTGACTTGAAACTGTCTATTATTGTCTTTAGCACCCAGAAACTGCACATTTTAGAAGCTGAAAACACTTTGTTAGTAGCAGTTTATAATTGAACTTGCCGCACACTCCAGCTACTGTGCAAAGAACATAACATGCAACACCCATTGGGACATTGACTCTTGAGAATCAGAATATAATAGGAGAGGCCCTTTGATCTGCACTTCGCTCACCTTCATGCCGCGCTCCACTGTGTGAATGCACACAACAAATTGGTCTCTCCCCACTTCTCAGCAAAGATTTAATGGCTTGCTGAAGTGAGGTCTCTAAGTAAGGCACGGGTTATCAAACAGGTTTCTGGAGAGTTGATTGATCACATGGTGCTGGTACATCATCATTCCCATGTGCAAAACTGCATTTAAAGAAGCTAAAAATATATTAAATGCTTTTCTACTATTCCTGTTTCACGTAACCAAGTGCTGCAGTTGATGAGGGCATGTTAGCATGAGGGGAAGGGGTCCAGGAGATTGTGTAGGGGTGGGAAGGTATCTACAAGAAACTCTTTACTAAGATGTGCAGCATGGCTTTTAAAAACTGGAGAACTCCTGCATTAAGACATCATTATGCTTACGCACTACAGTGCATTTATTAATATGCAGTGAGGCGTTGAGAAAGCTAGTTCAGTTTTATCTCAGATCACATTTGGATGCAATCGCCTGGCTTTTCTAAACAGTGTGCTTATGAATTGACACAGTTCATTAATTCGCCCTGGGTGGCTTGCTTATTAGCAAGCGTGAAAGTAATTTTAAAGATGATTTCCCAAATAATTTTGAGCAAGCTACTATATAGTTAACAATGCATTCCTGATTTCTATAACCTGTAGCAGATCTCTTTTGCTGGTAACACCATTCCCTATCCATTATGTGCACACACTACTGTAGTTGTGACTTCAGCTGGTACCTCAAAAGGGAGTGATCTAATTAGCTAAGTTCCAAATTTAGGACATAATCTCAATATGATGGACATAAACTCTTGCCATTACAAGGTATTCATATCTTTAGCCTTGTATAGTAAGCTTTGGTCTTATGATTCACCAGGGCTGATGGAAGTAGCTGGCAATGGGAAGTAGAGGGATAAAGGGCCTGTGGGGGGAAAAGTAAAATCAGAGTGGTGTGAAAGACTGGAATCTTCACTGAATAGAAATAGAAGCCCAAAGTACTGTTTGACTAGTAATGAATCACTTCTATTGGCTGTCCGAGCTTTAACCAGTTTTCTCCTCCAATTGTAGTCTTGTACAGAACACCTGGGGGAAAGTTCCTGTTTACATCTTTCTTTTTTTCTCAAAAAACATAGGTAGTTACAGAAATGGACAGTGTTTCCTCTTAAACCAGTCAAAGATGCTCAGTCTGGTACTTTTTGCTGGTCTCATGTTTTGGAGTTTTGGGAAATGAGGGTGGCTCCTTTCAAACAACCTGTTGAATGTGCTGTGCAGTATGTTTTATTATCTGGATTGATTTGTGTTGGGGCTGTGTTCTCATTCGGTGCATTATTTTTCACAGCTTTGTCCGATCCCCTTTGAACCAAGACTACTCCAAGAAGCGAAGAGTGATGGCATCTGTGTTCCAAAGTGTCGGGGCTACAACTGGCTGGAGGAGCCACCAGCTACTGGCTGACTTTGAAAATGAGAGTCCAGTGCCTGACAAATTTAGAAAGAAGCCTTCTTCAAGCTCTCTCAATACCCTCCGCATGTCTCTGAGAAAGCGAATGCCCTTAAAGCAAGTGGAGATGAACCTCAGTGAGAATCCAACTTGGGAAAGTCTGGAAGCGAAAGAGAAGCGACAAACCTTCCGGGCTATCACAAGAACAGCAAAAAATGCTTTTGGAACAGTGTCCCAGGTAATGATCCTTGTAATGTACTATGGATGGCAGTTCTGTTCATAGCTGGTGTCCTGTTTCAGGACTAATAATACCTAGCTCTTTTATACAGCACACTTCAGCCGTAGATCGCAAAGTGCTTTAATGCCAGACATAGTGTCTGTATTTTATAACTAGTACATGCTTTATAATATATAGCGGGCTGGTTGCCATAGAGAAAGAAGAGCAGCACAAACAAGCTTTTTGCAAAAACAAGGGAAAGTGACATGTAGGAAGAATATGCAAAAAAAAAAAAGTCTTGCTCACGTTATTTTGAGCAAAATCTCCAGCAACTGTAAAACCGCTTTCCCTATCCCAGACTGCATTACGTGGGACATATCTAGAGAGACACTTTAAAAATAGTAAATGAAGGAGACCTGATAAACTAATGGATTTTCTGGGCTCTCAAAGAACATGCTTTATGGAAACCTTAGAGCTCAGGGGTGAGAGAAATGTGGGACTTTAATTATACTGTATTTGGAGGCAGAGGGAGGAGATGGGGGTTGGACTAGATGACCTCCTGAGGTCCCTTCCAAACCTGATATTCTACTGATATCATAGAATATCACCCACTTTTATATACAGTCTGAATATGGACTGACTGGGTTCACAAAGACATACCTTATCGAAACTCCTAAAGATCAGGGCTATTAAAAATGTACAGCCTTAACTAGCCTGCACATGGAGAAGAGGTCTAATTTTTAAAGCCTGATCTAAAACCGATTAGCCAATTGCTGACCCAAGTCCAAGTGTCGCGTCATTTTCAGACCCAACCATCAACGTGCGTCATCCTTGGAGCTCAGCATGGTGGGGGGCTTCACGCTCCGTCTGCCTCCTGCCTGTTGGGTCAGCAGGGCAGTGCCCCTCTCCTGCCGGCCGCCACAGCCTTGTTTCACTCTGTGCTCAGAGTGAAGGGCCCTGCAACTCCCAGCACCTGGGCTCCGCAGCACACAGTGCTGAGAGGCAGCAGCGGTCAATGGGAACAGGGCACGCAGCTACTTACGGGCAGACTTGACGCTGAGAGTCTTGGGTTGTTTTCTGACCTGACCCGGACACGTGTAGTCGGGTCCCTTTGGGTTCAGGTCCGGTTTCAGGGCTCTAGTTTGGAGTGGGGAGGGAAAATATCAAATACCATTCCTGAAGATCCTGCTGGAATTTAGTCCTTGATCTGCAAAGTCGCTGTTCTTTATATCCATGTGACCTAGGGCGAGACTTCTCCAGCATCTCTCTTGCAACATAGTCTTTGCACCCTTTTAAATTCACTGAAGCAAAGAGAAGCAGTGGAAATCCTTGGAATAGATTTAGAAATAGCAAAACACTAGCCCCATATGTTAAACAGATGGCATGACCTTGGTATTCTCGCTAACTCTGAATTGTTCCTATAATGGCATGCACATGGGGGGAAGAACTTGGAATAAGTGCTTCCTGCTAACTCTAAGCTTATTTTGCAGATGAAATGCCAAGCACTGGCAGCAAGGAGTTGTTGCTTGTGTAAAGGCTGCCGAATCAGGCCTGAGCACTTGTCTCATGGGACCAGCAATATTGGAGTTGTACCAATGGGGAGTTCTGATGAATTTTTCATGCATCCTATGCTAGGTTGCACAAGCTATTTTAGGAAATTCTGCTAGCCAGGAGCACAACCTGCTATGACTCAGAGTTTGCAAGTAGACTTGAAGCCCAGAGGACAGCCCTGCAGGTTGAGGTATGTTAGCAGGGCAGCAAAGGAAAGCTTTTGTGCTGCTCTTCTTTAAACAAAGGCCTTCGGTTTAAAGGCATCTTTAACAGGTTCTAAAGGCAGGGGGGATCCTGCTCCACATGAAATCAATGAGAACTTTGTCCAGGGCTCCTGTGGGAGCAGGATCAATCCCAAAGACTAATGGATCAAATGAAGCACGCCGCTCTATTTCAGTGCGATCCGAGGGAAGAGGCTTTAGCAGCAATGACAGACGTGCATCCGCCCAGTCTAAGTCTGGCTCTAAGAATTGTAGCTGGGGTTGAGAGCGAGCGTTCACGTGCTGGGATTTTGTTGAGCTGGCATATTGTAGACAGCAGTTTATAATCCCAGATATGTCTGCCTTGCAGAAAATACAGAAGTCCTGCCAAAACCGCACGCAATCGCTAATCATCTCTCCAGCTAAAGCCCCTGCAAGGAGAAGTGGCATCACTTGCTCTGCCAAGAAGAGAAGCACTTCACCTCGAACTCCTAGTCGGAAGAATAGGCTGGCCACACTGTCCACCCCTTTGTCTGGTCCCACTTGCACCCCCGGGTCCAGCAGGAGAGCCTCTCTTTCATCCAGATCTGCAAAGAGCTTGGTGGGGAAAGAATGGAGGAGTTTCTCTTACTGGCTTGGAAAAGAAGCTGTCCCTCTCCGGAGATCAAGGAGAGCAGCAGCTCTAAAGAGCCCATATTCATCACCTATGCCTGCCAGCAGAAAGAGGCAAGCTGCAATCATTTGTAATGCCTATTGCTGTTTTATTATTGTAACTAGCGTGTCTGGCTACCTGAGAGACACCAGCTGAGCACTGCTAATCTTTCCCACTGAAACAATGTGCTGTTATAATGGTTAGGAAGGTAATAAAGTTGTTACGTGCACCTATTTACAGAGAGCGAGAGAGAGTATGGCATAAAACTAGGCCGTGGAAACTTAATTTTGCATGATGACAGACCAGTGAGGTCTCTTGCACCATCCCCATCCAGTGGGAGGGTGATATTAAGTTTACATCATGTAATTATGCCAGCTCCAGTCTGGCTTGAGTTAAAGAAATGTTAACCTTCTAAATTCTTCATTGATGCTGTTTGTTTGATAAATCACTTGGGTATCGATTCGTCCTACTCTGCTCTGCATTTCCCAGAATTATTTATTTGTATTGTGGTGGTATCTAGGGTCTTGGCCCAGGACTGGGGCTCCTGTGGTGCTAGGTGCTGTACAAACAGAAAGATGGCCCCCTGCCCTGGAGGGTGGACAAAGAGTTGTGGGGAGAAAAAGTATTTCATGAAGTGCGGAGATCGTGCCTTGCCCAAGGTATCAGGTGAAGACAGAGTTGGGAGTTCCAGGCATGCCTCCTGGATCCCAGTCCAGTGCCTTGGCTATGAGACTATGTTTTCTAGATGCGATGTGACTGGAGTTAAGGCACGATTAAGGCTGAACATTGGGATGGGGAGCTGTGGCAGTGATAGAATCCTGTGGCTAGAGGCTTAAAATTTGACCAGAAGGAGCACTAGGGTATATACTGTAGATACTTCTGCAGTGGTAGGGGGCTGGGCTAGATCACCTATGTAACATTTGAATCCTCTAATTGCATGCTGCTTTCTCCCTTCAGAGAGTTTGACTGCGAGTTAGAATCAGTCTCTATGGGAATTCGCCGGCTGAAACGTCTTTCTCAGGTGTTCGATGATGTCATTGTGAGAGAGGAGAGGTAAGCAGTATTGTGATCGGGGGAGATGTTTATTTCTCCTCTAATGCTGCCTGTGCAGCAGAGGATGGTATCGCCAAAGATTCACCTCTCCAATCCTGAGTCAACGATACTGCTAAATATAAATTAAATGATCCCTCGCAGCTTGTAATCAAAATGAGTGAGAGCAATAGAAATGCCTTAACTGTAATGCAGCCTCTCTGCTTTAAGACACTGCATAGTTAGACAGCTGCAGACTGGCTCGCAGCTCCACTGAAGCCTGTAACAAACATTCTCCTTGATTACATGCTGCTTACTGTAAAATCAGAATCCTCCCCACCACACTCAGCCTCCAATACTATATCTTGCCTGGTAACTCCTTGCAGCAGTTCTAGGTGGGTTAATAGCCCGGAATGGGGCCAATAGAGGCTTCTTAGAATCTCATTGTATAGGCACTTGACTTTCATTTCAATAAGATTCTTTGAATGTTGCCTGAAAATTTGATTCAGATCCAAGTAACACCTAGAATTAGTTTGGCTTGTGCATTTCACAACTGCATGTATAGTCATTATCACAATCTTCCCTTCTAATTGAAGATCTTCCATACACAATTGTGGGAAAGAAAAACCCTATCAAAAAAGGAAAATAACTTAGTGACAGGGTGACTTGGGGGCAGGTGTATTCACTGAAGCTGTTCCTAACTCGCTTTGAAATTAACTAGATTTCAGGTTGAAAGGCCTGAAGCGTTGTGGGTCAAACTTGTTTCACAGGGGTCATCAAAATGGTAACAAGATAAAGTTTTATTGTGTTGGTGTTGTCCATCCCCAGTAAAAAAAAACTTGATGTGGGAGCCTCTCTTTTCTAAGAGGAACTAAAATTCTTGCACAGTGATTCTAACTTAAGCAGCTTTGGAAATGTGGGAGATTGCTGTGTTTTTGTAATAGTTACCTCATTTAGAATGAGCATCTTCAAAGTGCAGTGTGGTAAGAGTTTTCAAATTAAAAAGTCTGATGCCACAGTAATCTCCTAAACCTTCTCAAGTTCTTCTTAAAGAACACTTATCCTTAAGCCTAAATCTTGCAGCTTAATTCTACTTGGATCTGGTTACAAATTCTGCATCATCAGGGGACTATATCTAGACTACAGGGCCCTGTCTTGCAGATAACACAAGCATCTGGATGTAGCTTAGTACTAGATACCTTCTAGATCAAGGGTTCTCACCCTTTTTCTTTAAGCCCTCCCCATCCCCCCCCATGCTTTTAAAAAAAAAAAAAAAAAAAAACCCTCCATGGCCCACCTGTGCCATAGCTGGTTTTCTGCATATAAAAGCCAGGGCCAGTTTTAGGGGTTAGCAAGCAGGGCAATTGCCCAGGGCCCCATTCCACAGGGGGTCTTGCAAAACTAGGTTGCTCAGGCTTTGGCTTCAGACGCGGGTGGTGGGGCTTGGGGGCCCCAGCTTTCTGCCCTGGGCTCTAGCAAGTCTAATGCCAGCCATGCTTGGTGGACCCCCTGAAAGCTGCTTGTGGCCTCCTGGTTGAGAACCACCATTCCAGATAACTTGCCTCAGAAAGACTTGTGGAAATCTGTACAATTCCAACTATTTCTCTCTACCCCAATCATTTTCAGCTGATCAGGTGTGGACACAAGTGGTCAAAATCCTGAAAGAGCTGTGTCAATTAAATGATTGTAACCATTTCAAGTTCACTAAAGCCTCATTCCTAATATTCATTCTTCCATCTGTTAGTGATATGACAGTTTCTCTCATTCGTAACTGAGGATAGTACCAACCAGGTAAAGTTGTTGTTCTTAAGCTTGCTTTGAATATACTTACTTCACTTGCATGTGGCTGAATGGAGAAAAACGGCTGTTTTCAAGGGAACAAGTACATACAAAACTTTATTGAGCACCTTAAAAAAACAAACTTACTAACTAATGTACAGAACCACAGGCTGTTTTCTCAGTCACCAGTGCTGTGCGTGCCTCTCTTAGCTGCAGTTGTAATGCGGTGCAGCCATCAAACCCAGCTTCAGCTGGTGATTATAGGTCACTGAGCCCCGTGTGGGTCTGCCCTGAAACAATAGTTTGACTTCTGTGCAAATAGCTGTTTTTCTCACCCCAGACCAGAAAACATCTGGTACTAATGTTTTGTCACTTCAGTTCTCACTGGTTACTCACTAACAATGTAAAGCATGTCAGAAAAGTGTTACTCTGACTTGCCTAATTTGTGTGTGTGTGTTACCATTTTTAATGTCTAACTGTTAAGACATTGCTTTGTCAATAGCAGCAGTTGACATCTTTCTACCTGGTGTTTAAATACCGCAATTGCATATAAGTGGCTCTGGAACAAGCAAGGTTCTCCACTGTAAATTTCTGAACATTATGTCTTCAGCATCATTTCTCCGAACCTTCCCATTAACAGATTTGCTATGGGAATTCCTTAATTTAAGCATTTATCTTCACTTGAAGCTGCACTGTGTCATCTTTAAATGTTTACATCATTGTGTTGAAGGTTTGTATGCTGGAATTTTTTTATTGAAAGGGGTAGTGTGAGTTGCTGTAGGTGTTTTAATTAGGAACAAATACGCAAACATACTGGGGCATGAATGCCTGTAGTGTCGCATGGTAGAAAGTGGGGGGGAGGGAACGGACTGTAACCATTAAATGACAAATTGATTCAGCATGTTACTTCCAATGGTAATGCATGCTAGCAATTCACTTCACTTTACTGCATACTTACACACCTTCACTTCCTGGTTTGAAGATCTTTATTTCTGTTGGAAAAGCCCATGACTTTTACAACTTAATGTTGGTAAGGGGGTACCATACTTAGCAACTCTAAGGTAGAGACTAATTCTAACTTCTGATCTCTACTAGTCATGAGGAGGAGTATGGAGTTTTTCCTCCAATTAGGCCCTGTGCAAATAAACTTACATAGACAATGGCTATTTTGTTGGTTTTTTTTTAAACTTTCCCACACCCTTCACAAAACAAGCACTGATATGAAAGCTAGGTTAGACCCTCACTTATTCATATAATGTTTAACATTTAAGTAAAATTAGACCATCCCCATTAATGTTTTTTACCCCCTATCTATCATGCTGCTTAATCTGTCTGCTGCTATTGCTGACCACACCTCATAGCAGATAAAACATGACTGAAGTGAGAATTTTTTTTAATGGCCTTCATAAAATCTGCTCAATATACCAGGCACGCTGTTTCCTGACTTCTACCCACTTTCCAGCAGCTTGTGTATACTGAACAACCAATTACTTAACCTTGCCCATTACTCTGTTGTATTAATTACACTCCTTTATTCTTCGCAGAGAACAAGCGATATCCAATTATCAGCATCTAATGGCACAAAACTTGCGATCTGTGCATCGGTCTCGGAAACTCTCCCAATCTGCTTTCAGACGGCGTGCGAGGAGGCTGCAGCATGCAGTTGGCACTTGGACTGAGATGGCTTTAAACAGTATTAACAACGTGTGAGCAAATGAAGGATTAACTATCTATGGGAGTTGGAGGGGTGTATTGTCTGTTTGGATTTAAGTGACTGTGCTTTGAATAAGCCATTAACCATTTTTAGAATACTACCTTTCAATTCAGCTCCGGTTTAGCCTTCCATGGATTTCTCCTGCCAATGGTGCAGGGATTATATTAAAGTATATGACATGACCACCCCCGTGGTATTGCCCAGCAATGGAACAGTAAACTGAACTCACTTAACCAGCACTTTCAAATGGGACAGGCATGATCCAGTGTATTGAACTTTAGGGCTGAGCTAATTACTACTGAATGATTTTAAGGAAAGACAATAGTATCAGTGTCTGACTCCTGATCTGTGACATTGGGGATACTTGCTTCCTATACCTCCCTCATGAGATGTTGAGGACTTTAAGTTTCTACAGAGCTTTGGAAACTAAAAAAGCACCAATGCCTATGCTTTTCCAAAGTGCATGAATTTCATTGAATTTCAATGGGATTTAGTGGCCTTAAGTGCTTCTGAAGACTTTGCTGTGTGCCAAAACCATAGTCTACAAAATGGTGTCTGGCTGTGATTTCAGTTACTGTGGGTTGACATGGGGGGCTAAATAAAAATCATGGAATTCTGTAGTTACTCCAGAGTGACACTGGAGTTAAAGAAATTACTGCCAAAGTGAATTAAGATAAATTGAATCAAGGCAACTTTAATTCTGAATGAGCGTGTCGACACAGGAATTTAACACTGTTTAATCCATGCCTTTGGTTTATTCAGATTAGCTCTCGGGAAGGTGCCTGTGTAGATAAACCCTGGGTGATTGAAGTCAGAATGTGTGACGCCCCCTGCACAGTTCACAGGGTTCGACTAACTAATGTATCTATTCCATTTTAACTAGTTTCATTTTGAACTGCTAACAGTTGAGGCTTCATTTGTCTTTCATGCTACTACTATAAGACATCTCAACGGTGAGGTAAATATTGCTCTTGGAACATGTACACACAACTGAAGACACTAACTGTTAATATACTAAAGTTGGAAGTAACACTTGTTGCTTATTATAATGATATTTTTGTGCAATGGCACTAGTTAAGTGTTTCTAATAGCTTTTTATGCTAACATTATTTTTATATCAAAATAAGAATGTCAGGCTCTATAATAGAGGTAATCTTAGTTTAGCAAAATATTAATTCTCTAACATTTCAACAAAGCGAAGGAGTCCTGTTTTCCATAAACTTCTAGAACTCGGCCCCAGTGCTGTTCCTTGAGCTGTAGCTTTTTTCTAAAGAGAATAAGTAAACAAAGGGGTGTTTGTTGTCTTTAAAGCAATCTGAGTCGGTGTGCCACTACAAAATATTGACATTTAGAAGGTTTAATCTTTATGGCTGTTTATATGAATTCTGTTGCCACTTACTATTGGCTACAATATTGCCCTGCTTCATTCTCCCTAAAATATTTTAGTGGTATCGAAGTCCAAATTTTGTAAGCAATCCTGCCTGAATGCTGCTCCAGCTATATTTAAATTGAGATTAACTTTTTTTTTTTTTTGCCTGTTGACAAACCAGACTGTTTAAAAGGTAAAATTTTGTAACACTGGGCTGGAACCCCTTCCTATTTGGATTTAAAATGTAGATAAGGGTTATTGTTTTAAGCCAGAGGAGAGCTTTTATTTGAAGTTTTACTTGTATGTACTGATCCTTGACAAAATAGACTTTTCATAATAGTGATGTCTTGTTGAATGCTATTTTCAGACTCCCTGCCACTGCCCCTTTTTAAGAAAAACCTCAACCCCCAATTACCATTCACCTTGTAAGTGGGAGAAATGTTTATTTTTGTCATTTCTTTCTCGGCGCACACAAAGCATTTGTATCTATTAGGTTTTGACTAATTAATTAAAATCAAAGGGACTGCCCGGGGTGTGTAGCTAAGGGACAAAGAACCTGCATTTTGGAAAAATCCTGCCCATCTCCTTTTTCTGCTTGAAGCTCTGCTGGCAATGCTCCCTTACAGCAGGTGAGGATCTAGAGTTCTCTATTTTGACTAAGTGCATGGTAGATACAGCTGCTCAAAACTAACATGCCATTTGGTAGGTCTTGGAATTATACACCTGATCAACTTGTTCAGAATGGGTACAATGGCCACGGAGCTTTCCCACAGCAATGTAAAGAAAAACCCACAACGCTGTCCACTTAAAGGCAAAGAAGGTTTTTATTTAAGTGACTAGCTTTTTATAAGATTTTAAAAACCAGCTCACATCAAAATCTAGACCAGTTGTAAAAATCTTACTCCTTAGTTCATATGTTAAGAAATTCATTATTGTACAGGTTTTTTTTTTTTTAATTTTTACAAGGCAGCCATAAGAAATATAAACATTTGTCACCATAGATAGAACCTTCCCACGGACACACTATTTAAAAGTATACACTTAGTAAAACTGTAGACTCAAAGACCATGTACAATTTCAAGTCTCCTCACAGGGATTGTTATAAGTAGACGTTTTGTTTTCCCACGTAAATAGAAAAATAAGTATGCGTTGGGGTTGGGGTTCTGCCATGAGGCTGCCATTCCTGACCCTTCTAGACCCAGGAGTATCTTCCAATATTTAAAACTTGCTGTTTTCCCTAACTTTTCTTTGTTACTCTCCAACTTTTCCTTTTTAGTGTTCCATTCCACATGTAAACCCGCCTGTACTTAGCAGTCAATACGCTCTGAGATGCTGACCACTCGCCCAGTGCTTTTCTGGGTAAGGAGAGGCTAACTCAAAATTTTCCACCCCTTCCCAAAAGCAGGGCCAGTTTTAAAGGAATACTGTCTAATTACAGGCCAGATCCTCATCCCCTTTTCATGGATCTGAGCCAAGAGGAGGAGTGTCAGCTGTGTTGTTGTTTTCAACTCCCACAGGGAGCTCCCTTCCACCATGTTCCAAGCAGGATCGCTGGCTGTTCTGTGTAGCCTGGGAAATGAGTAAGTTTTCATACTCACCCCAGTCTGTAGTTAGAACTCACTCCCACCCTCCAATCTCCTCTGGAACAGCTATGCTTCCAGGGACAAGTGAGGTCAGACACATTAGGCATATGGCCTCTTTTCACCCGGCCACCTAATTTCTTCACTCTCCAAAGGGAATAACCAGCTGGAAATTCTGTGACTCCACATTCAGTTTTCAGTCCCTTAAATAGGAAAAGGTGAGAGGAGGAGATGATCCTACATAATGTAAACACATGTCTTTACCTCTATTAATAAACACAATAGCAGCAAGTTGCTTTTATGGTGTCAGTTAACTTTCTTGTGGTTTGGATAGCATGAAAAAAAAACATTTTTGCTTTTAGTGCTGTACTACAGGGAAGTATTGTCCTTTACCAATTGTTTTACATTCAGACTTTAAAAACAATTCTTGTGCTCAAACTTTTTTTTCTACTTGGGAACCTATTTATAGGGAAAAGTGCTCTTGACTATTTGCATATAATCTGGTTTTAAAAGCAAACAACTGGATTTGTTTAAAGAGATGCATAGGCACACAACTTTTGCAAAGTGGAACCAGGTACAAGGGCTGTTTACATGCTTTCTGTGCCCCACAAGAGCATGAGAGTTTGACAGAAGTGTCACTATCTTGGCGAATACTGCTTAATGAAACAAATTAAGCTTTCTTAGCGTAGGGTTTGTTCTGTCTCCCCATAACTCCTGAAATATGCCCTAGCTACGTTGAAAGCAGTAGCAAATAAGAGAAGGGGGCCCTCTATCTTCACTAAAGTCTGAACTCTCTAGTGTAAAGGCTGCTAGGTGTACTAAATAGTGGAGAATGGAACACGATTAATGCTTTTCTAACCATATCAAAATGGCAGCTCACTCTTGAGCCCCAGTGACAGAGGGACAATGGATGCTGTGTAGTTCACACCTAACAAAATAGTAGGCTGGATAGATATAAAACATGCCACAGAATAAACAAGAATACTTTGGTCAAGCAAGAAGATTTTGTTCCAACAGCACTAGTGTAGGCAAACATGTACTTAAACATTTCTTAGTGACATACTCATCAAATTTGGATTACCATTACTATGCATGTCTGTGGAATATTCTGTACTTTTTACAATGCTAATTTTCCCCCAAAAAACTTACTTAACAGGACAACAAAATAGACCAAACAGCTATTGTAAAAAATGCATATTGGTTACAAATTTGCTGTGAAAGCTTTACCAAAACTTCACATGGGTTGTTATGAAGTCAGTAAATATACACACACGCACAACAAACACCACAGCTGTGAAGGTGCCTTTTCACAATAGCTCAGATAACAGTCCACCACTGCTAGTTAATCAGATTTTTTTTTTTTACAGTAATAAACTGGGTCCATTAAACATGGCAGAGAAATAAGTGTTCCTAGTCACAGCCTACCTTACTTGTGCATTTAACTTTGACTGCTATGACTCCTCACTAAAATATTAATTATAATACATTTTACATTTCCAATTACTTCCTCAGTTTACCTGGCAAAGACTGTGCTTTTCCATACCAAGCAGTCAGGAGGCACTAAGGTGCAGAAATTATTTATGTGCTCAACCTGTGTTCTGTGAGCACTCAAAACTTCCATTGATGTCTTAATTCACAACCAAGCTAGTTTTGAGTGTGCAAGGACATCTGGTAGTAACTTGATACAGACAGACACTGATACCTAAACCCAATCTACTAATGAATGAAATTTTAAAAAGCACTACTACTCCCCTTGGTGAAAGTTTAAGCAAAACTGAATGAAGACTTAAATTGATTTTGAAATTCCACTTTACTCAACAGGCTCTGAATTAGGAAAGTCTGCACCTATGAACCATGGCATATAAACAATTTGGCAAGAAGCAAATGCTTTAGGAGATAACAGGGATTGACAATTTAACAGAATTGGTCCTAGCTCAGCATCCATAAAAGAGAGCTACCTGGACATACACCTAACTTTTAATATACAGCTGGGTTCCCAAATTTCCACTTACTTAATACTTTGTTTGTAGGCCTAGCTAGTTCAGAGATTTCATGTCATTCTTCTTACCATACTGATACTCTCAGCCCCACTGAAATGATGACACCATTTTAGTGACTAATAATCTAGAGCAGGAAAAAACCCAAATGCTTTAAGTCATCTGAAATTTTGGAACACCAGTTTCCAACTGGTATGAAACATTAACCTCTAACTTGAATATGTTGTGGGATTGTTGGCAAAGGTGCTTAGTTGGAGGACCAGTGAGCAGAGGGTAAAACATTCAATCCCTGAGCAATAACCAATATTGGAATTATACAAAGGCCACATGAGTTCCAGTATCTCATGAAACCAAGTAGGGGAGTTAATTATTTTCAGCTGAATTCTAATACTGTATGTAGTAATATTTAAAATGCTGACATTCTAATCATGTACACAAACTAGCACTTATTTCACTGCTTAAATTATTCTACTGTTATGAGAAGCCAGCACAATGGCGTCTAGTCAAGAGACCCAGGTATTAATGAAAAATTCGAGTTAAAAGACACATTGTTATAGCTTTCAGGCTCATTTCCCTTAATGATGGACACAAATTCCAACTAGATCTCATTCTGGAAAGAAATCTATATAATAGGAGAATTAGATGAATTGGTTTTGGAGCCTCGTGGCTGATAGAGGTAGACATTAGCTAAAGCAACAATAGCTTTGAATTGCACAGCAGGCACAATAATCACCAGCAGTGTACATGCTGTAACACAGAGCTGCTTTACAAAATGTAATTTCGAGCTAAACAATCACTGTCCCCTTTAGATCTGCCCATCCGATTACAGGTAGGAACTCAATAGACAAATCTGAAAAGTCGTATGTTCCCCTGCCTGTTAAACTTGGGGTAAGCTGAAAAATACTGTATCCCAGAGGTTTTGCAGTGAAGAGAGCCTAAAACAATTGGCCAATCACCACAGCCCCAAGCAAATAAAACTGCTCCAAGGACAATAAAGCAGTGAATCTGCTGAATCTATAAACCATTAGTGATCAGATGTAGATCACTGTAGCAAGCTTTTTACTGTATGTTCTAAGAGCATTTTTTTGTTGGTACCTGTTAGTCAGAAGAGAAGCATCAGATAGAGATTGAGCACCAACCACCCATCTTCATTACTTGCTTTTCCTTGCCCCTAGAGCAGCAGCAGAGAGCCAAATTCATCACTGGGATAAGCAGCCATGACTCCACTAAAGTCTGTGGAGCCATGCGTACTGATGCTAGTAGTCAGTTTAGTGCAGGGAGCTAGGTTCTGCCCTGCTTTAGAGCCTGTGTGATTTCAGTCTGATTGCAGAGGGTGGAAGAGAGGGACGCAGAGGGAAAAGACAGAACACGTAACCATTTAAAGTGCTGTGTGTTAGAGGACTTGTGACATTACTCAGAAAAAGACATTTGTAAACCTAAAAACTATTCAGTGTTGCTCTTGGGGATCTTACATTCAGCTTTTATATCCAAATGACCTGGCACCAAGGAGACACTGAGCAAAGGACATAAATAAAACAGTTACCGTAAGTACCCGATCCTAACTAGTGTGAGTTTGCAAAACATTTAGTGTCTTAATTTTAACTTCAACACTCCAGTTTAATTTAAGAGAAACAATAAAGTTAATGTGAAATGCTATTAGATCTGTCAGGAAATGTAAAGCTAAATTTTTGCATGTAGACTGATTACAAGTGTAATACAAAAAAGCAGGTAACTTTGGCATTCCTCCCACAGAATAAAATACAGAAATGTACCTAAGGTGCTCTACTGGTAGAGCTAATTTGCTGCTTCCTTGGGTAGGAATCACCCATCGGAACCTCTCATAGCTCTCTGGGGTCTTCAAATAATGCAGGTTTCCTTTTTCCGTCTACTGCCTCGTGGTCGTTTCCCCATAGCATTTCTTGTACATACTATGTCTCAATAACCAATAGGCTCATTTGAGCCTGCATCTGGCCTGCATTCAAGATGGATAAGACTTGAAAAATGGGTAACTTTATTTAAACTCTCCCAGGCTCAGGAACACCACCTCTTTAAGGATTAAAACCTGGTTTATGAGCACTTACAACCTTAATAAAGATGGGAAAACATGCTTGTTAGGACCCAATCCTGAAAAGCTTGAGTAGTTCCTCTGAATTCAGCTCAGTAGGAGTTATCACAAGTAAGAATTTGCAGGATCTGGCTCTTTGCTTCTATCCTAAAATGACTACACAATTTACCTCTGTGAGCTGAGACCATCTAAATGGAATTTTTTGGTAATTAGAAAATGAGTACTTTTAACTGGCAGCTGCAATTTCATAGCATCTAGTTTCTATGAAGCTTAAATGTGGGTATTTTAAATACAGTAAGATTTGTTTTAACAGAAACTGCACCTACACTTTCATAGCATATAGTTTCTTTAAACAGCAGTGACAAGGAGAAAATTACCCATATAAAACCAGTTATGATTTTATCACTCATTTTCATCCATTGTAAAATTCTGGAGACACTACAGAAGAGGGGTTTCTTTAGCTTACCCATGTAGGATCCATGTCTTGTATCAAAAGGGTCAAACCCATCTTGTTGCTTGAAGCAATTCAAACATTTGTACAGTCACCAAGCTCCATGAAAAATGTATGATCTTTGTATATAGCAACACTATCAGTCCTTCAGACTGCAGTAGAGAGACTTTTTTTTTTAATCAATCAAGTGTTTGATTTGGTTCATAAGTCGATTTCTCCAGTGGGTATTTTAAGTCTAGCTACCTGACTTATAAGATGTATAGATCAGAACTTGAGCTGATGCACATTCATCAACACCATAAGCCCAAAGGAAATTGTCTTGGGCTTAAGGCACCCAAACAGTTTGCCTTCCACATTCCACTCCACCTGCACTTCCCTTCTGTGTATAACACTTTCTCAGGTGTATAGCAGCAATTGATACAGCCATTAGGGTTTTAAAATGTAAGCCTTCTCTTTCACGCATTTTACCCGCTTATGTTTTTTTTAAGGTGTTACTAATTAGCTGATGTCACTCCTTTTAGCATCTTCCCTTGAGTAAAATCAACCTGTTACAGCTTTTCTCTTATTGCACATTTTATAATGTGTCTTGTAAAAAAAATTCTAAGACATATTTTGCAGTTTTGATGTTAAGCACTTGCGATAGTTTTAGATCTGGATTTAAAATTGTAGAATAGGTACGTTAAGAGGAACAAACAAAGTTCCCTACTTGGTTTAAGAAGGCAGATTCCAGAGCAAGGAAGCCTCTGGTTATGTGTCCCACCTCATGCCTACAGGTTGATTGGCCGGCACCCAAGACTTACACCTCAATGCTTCCTAAGGCGCAGACTCAAATTTATGGACCCCACCTCGAACCCAGGCTATGGGGGGCAGGTGCCTGTCGTGATCTTTGTCTGATTCAGGCTGGCTCTGGGCACGCTCTGGTTTGGGGTTTGACGAAGGTGGGTCAGGCTGCTGCACAGACATAGTCCTGCGAAGGTGAGTCCGTTTCCGCAGAAACTCGGGCTGGGAGTGCAGGCCAAAGCTTCCTTTCCTCAAGATCATCCGGGAGTTGTTCTTCTTGGGCCGTGAATGGAGACTGAACTCCAGCAAAGCTAAGTGCGCCGCGTAACCTTCACTGAGGAACTGGAGCAGAGGAGGGAAAGAAAAAAAACACTCTGCATTAATGATTCACCTGAGCACTCTGACAGACTCCCCAGCAAACACTGCTCTTGGGTGGTGGTGAAGTATTCAGCATGCGCTGCTCTCGTGCCTGCTAACGCACAGGTATTGCGTATTGACTAGGCACAGCCTCCTTTCTGGAGCGATGTTTCCAACTTCAGGGTAACTAGTTAAGTCATGGGCATGAGAGGCCAGACTCTCTGAGATGGAGGGAACAAAATGGCTTTTCTACCACTTGCACTTATCTCCTCATACTTTGGTTGTCGAGCTCTACTGTAATGAGGGCGGGATCCTGCTCCTCTCTGGGATCTGTCCTTTCATACTAACGCACAAGAAGGGCCCAAATGAGTAACATTCTTTCCCCATGAGTCCAGCAGCAGAGTTGCATGAGAATCAGAGCAAGGATAAAAAGAAAGCTCTAGAGAGGTGGAAAATTAGAGCTAAGACCCCCTCCCCTCCTTTAGAGTAACTATACTCCTGATCAAAACACATGGATGACTAATTTTGGACCACTCTGGCAGAAGATGCTAATATTTAAGACATTATAGCTGTGCATCTTAACTTGCTCCTTCCATTCAGCCATACATTCTACATGCAGCTGTCAAGCAACCTGCATTACTTAGATGCTAAAAGCCTTTTGCTGTTCATTCCTGCATGAAAATGCCCTCTAAGACTTATGCTGTCCTGGCCACACACAAGATTTATGTTCACTCTTCATCTCCTGTGCATGTCCCAAAAGACACTGACTCTTTAGCAAAAGTTACATACCTGACATTGAGTCTGGTATTTCTTTGTCGGACGTCCAACTATGTAGATCTGGGAAGGCGACAGACCCAAAACATTGTACACGGAAATATCCTTCATTGAGCCATACGCAGCACAAATTTTGATGTAGCACTGAAAGAACCAAGGCAAATATTGTTTTAATTGCACATGCTCTGAATGGCTGACCCACAAATCTTACAGCAGGCATTTTCTTTGTGATGAAGCTCCAGATAAAGTGATGTTACTGACCCAAATTTATAAACTTGCCCTTGTTAAAAAGAAACATCAGACATCTTGCCAGTAAAAGGGGCAAGATGACTGCATTTTTAAGTAATTGCTGGGATTAGTTTGAAAACCAATAGGAGTTGGGTGCTTAACTCCCACGGGCCTTTTAGAATAGCTCTCCCTTTATTTCTAGATGCTGAACAAGAATTGCAATAAAAATGTTTCCATTTGAAAGGTCCATAGGAGCAGGGGATACTTGGGAAGTTTGATCTTCAGAGGTGCAAAATATCCACAATTTATAGGAGTGAAAATGAGCCACATTTTTCCCATTGGATGTGAATCCAAACCATAAACATGACTGACCAGGTTCTCAAAAGTAACATAACCTTAGTCTGTACCCATATCTGCTCCCCACTGAGAAACCAGCATCATTTTCTGTAGCAACTAAGATCCTTAAAGATCTACAACCTTGCTTTGGGGGATTTTATGTGTTCACAGCACAAGGAATGGAATTTCAGTACTGTTAGCAAATGGAAGGGTGCAGCCGTTATCAGACATCATGTTGACTGGATTCTCTTAAATCAGGACAATAGCTTGGCTACACACATTTGACCTTGTACTGTTCATAGCTACTGGATTTATTTATATGCATCATCAAAATGATTAGCCTTGATCCAAGACCCTCAGAAGGCAGAGCAGCCTTCTTTGCACCTGAATGCTGGGAAGGAAACCAAGATACAGCAAAATACCTTGTAATGGACAATGGTCTTTTCCTTCCAAGGGGAAGAGACCCTCCCCTTTGACAATGACAATAGAGATCTGATTTTCCAGCAACTGATCATTCGATTTCAATATGTACACAAGAGCCTCTATTACCTCTTGCATTAGATTCCGGAGGAAAATAGTCTTTTGTCGTAGTGGGTCATGAACAAGCCCATCCGAGAAGAAAATCATCCCTTGAGGAAAGTTGTGCTGAGATAACCAGGAGACCACTCTCTGCTTTTGCATATCAGGACGGCCAGTGATATAGATGATCAGGTATCCCAGATCCTGCCAGTGGCTGTTAGAAGCAAAAGCAGCATGGGAGAGTGGAAAGCGGGGGAGAAGTCACCATCCATTTTAATCTTAATGAACATCTTTGCTGAACATGGGAACAATGTAAGAAAAGCCAGGCATAATCTCTCAATAGGTAAAAGGCTAGCTGGGATGGGGTCAGACTTCTGATTTTAATAGCTAAAATCCTGGTGTGTACATGCAATAATTTGTATGCCTCAAGAGAAATGGGGAAGAGCAATAGGCAGACTTGTGCAAATACTGTTGTATAAAACACCAGGGATAATTCATCTTAAATATTCTGCACCCTGTGGATTCAGTCCTGCTGTCCTTGAAATGGATGGAAATTTTGCCTTTGACTTCAACAAGAGCAGAATCACAGCCTGGGAAACTGAGATGCTCATCACTCCATTTTCAGGAGGGTTCAAGGGGCACTGAGTTTAAAACGATAGACCCCAATTCTTTGACCAGTGCAGCATTAACTGACTTCTTAAGTGAAGGAATTAGGTGGTTCTTAAAACTGATTCTCATAGTGCTTTACATCCGGAAGGTACATCATGCCTCGGGATTAAAATTCAGTATAGCATAAAATCCTTCAATATCTCACCAGCCTTTTTGATAATCAGAGTAATAAATGGAAAAATTATCCATTGACTCCATACACTTTTAGGCCATGTTTCCCAGAGGCAGCCTTTTAACTTTGGTGCAATTTACTGTGGAAATCATGAAGTTAAACATCTATAAAATGTGTAAATATCCGTGCAAATCAGGTATAGCTGGATGTCTGACTGATACAAAAATGTATCTGCAAAGAATTATGGGCCTTAAAATCCATAACATTTGTGAACAATCTATTATTTCTCGCTTCCCGTTTGATCCCCTTTGTTAAAAAGGGATGAGGCAGGGACTCCAAAAACACCACTGTGTACGTGTCCCTTACCGGACAACGTCGACTGCCCCAGCTCGGACTTTGGGGTCACTACCCATGATTGAGACACTCGCTGCAAAGGAGCCATCAATGCTAAACACCACACACTCCATTCCCGGGGGAAGCACAGTCAAGTAACTCAGTGCATTGCTCTGGTCGCCCCTGGAGAAGAAAAACAAAGCAAAGCATCAGAACTCAAACTCTGTGAATTACAATGAAATCCAGACATGAGGTCTGTCTGGGACAAGGCATTCAAGGCTCCACAAGCCTAACGGGACTCAACTATCCGGTTTCCACTATAAACCAGAAAGTAAAGATGTTGGGACCCTTTAAGAAGCTAATTTTCCAAGTCCACTGGGCTAAAACAGTGAGATTTGCATAAATCCAATTAAAGCACTGCAAGACAACAACAAAAATCACTGACAATACAATAAAGTCCTGGAGGGTTTGTCCTTTTTTGCAACTGAGAAATAAAAATTAGCCCTGGATTTTTTAAAGCAGCCTAAAAATATCAGGCATCCACACTTGTATAGAAAAAAGTGATGTATACTTCTCTGACTGTGCATGTTTCAAAAAGTCAACCTCACTATGTAACAGCAATGGACAGGAATCGACCATCCCTCTGTCCCTGTTTATTGTGCTGAAAATGCTGGCCCAGAAGAATCTAACAAATTCACAAAAGGGGAGGAATTCGAACACTAGGTGCCTACTTCCAGAGCTCTGGCATCTGCAAGCTTCTACTCATTGAGTATTCTTTCACTGGAACACAGCTGTTAGCACCCCCACAAAAGGCAGGTACAGAGATTCCACAAATCCCTCACCTTTTCCTGCCATATGAATCATGTTGCTCTGCAGCTCTGACCCAAGCCCTGCCCCCTTTGTCACAGTGAATGTTACAGCTATAGGGGAAATTATATCTGGTGTTACTGGCAACATCTTGCAGGGTGGATTTCTGCTTGGAAATGTGCCTGCATCACGTCAGGTCCAGGCATGATCATTTAAGGGTAAGGAGGAAACAACTACTTCCATTCTAGCATGAAGCATATTAAACCTGCAATCTAAGACCCAGGGAAGCAGGAGATTGGCTCCTGAGTCAATTGCAATGTTTTAAACTGCAGACTTCCCAAAATAGACCTTAATTTGTTTTTAAGCAGCCCTATCTTCTCAAATTGATTGCCTGCTAGTCTCCAATGGAATTATTACTAATTAAGAAAATATATATGTGGAATTGGAAAGCTGATCTTCCATTTGATTAGCTGCGAGGACACCTTTAGTTCCATTTTTATTTTAGAGGAGACGTTTAGTGGAATCTGCAAGGTATTTCCCAAGTGGGCCTGAAGTTTAACTCTAAAGTGGAGTATTAAATTAAAACTTTATGTCAAAGCATTTAGCAGTTTTCTTACTAAACATAAAAAGCTTTAGAAGCACATCTGCCCCAATCCACACACTTAGACAGATTAATTTTATTTCACACATTTTTCCTCTTTATGCTTGACTCAGCAGAGGGCTTTTCATGGAACTCTTGAGAGCTAGGAGAGAGTCAATTGATTTCACTTCACTGAATTGTTGCTTTAAGGCTGTGTTTTTCAATTTAAAATAAGCCTGGCACTGAGTACAGAATTAAAGTGATTCCTTCAGTCAGCCTGACATCAACAGATGAACTGAACTGCAGACTTGGAACATGGCAATACCGTCACTATTCATTTCAACAGGAGAAACTGGTCACCACCCTGAGGAATGCAGATCATCCTTTACCCAAACCCCACCCACAAGCAGGCTCTGGATTACACAAGCTACACCTTTGCTAGGGCCTTCAGACGGCCCTGATCCCCTGTATTTGCAAGACTAAACGCTAGTTAGTGGAGTCCCACTGGCTGTTGTTATTTGTATTACTGCAATGTCTATACATTGCAACCGAGATCAGGGCCCCATTGGGCTGGGCATTGTACAGACATATTAAGAGACTCTCACTGCCCCAAAATGCTTATAATAAAAATAGGCAAAGCACACAAAGGGTTGGGGAAAGGAAACACTGGGAAATGGACACAAAGAGATGAAGTGACTAGCCCGAGTTTGCACAAGAAGTCTGTGGCAGAACTACACCAGCCACAAAACCATCCTGTCTCCCGTATCTTATTCAAATCTGCAGTGATGGCTCACGTGATGTGAATGACCATTACGAAGCCCAGGGGAGGCTTTCCTGCAAGTGAGGGCTTTGAAATATCATAAAGCACTTTGACTAGTTTTACTCCTACAGCTTAGTATATTAATCTTAGCAATTAACCAAGTCTGCCTTTGGTCTAGAAAGCAAAATTAACAGGAGACTTGTCCCTCTAAAAGAGCATCATTCCCCTTATGTGCATTAATTAAAATATGTTTTCAGATGGTAGCTAAGGATCACATGTATAGTTTGTTGCCAGTTATTATTAGTTATTTGCAATGTAAGTAACCCCCTTCCCTCTGCTTCCGTCCTCACTCAGAGCCAGGCTAGCTGATTGCCTTGCTCTTCAGAACTGCCACCTCGGAGTACAAAAATTAAAACATCTGTTCAGCGGGGGTTTGCCAAGAGGTCCCACCTCCCAGTGCAAATATCTGGATCATAGCCCCACAGTGAACCCCTTGAACTGATATTTGCCCCCATCCCCTCTGTCTAGCCACACAGCAGCACCCATTTCCACAACTGGAACAGATACGTGACCGAACTCTGAATGTCCTCTCCATCCAGACAAGGGCCATCATTTGGCCCACGTTGTCTAAAAGCATGGGCTCTTTGTCAACATATTGAGTCCATGATAGTGGAATAAACATCTCCAGAGCAATAACTTTGCTCATTGTTGTGAACAAACAAAAAATGCTTTTGCTCCGTTTGAAGAACGGCACTCATGGTAAATGCAGTTTTCTGTTGGGTTGTTTGTTTGTTTTTAATGGCATAACTCTCTTTGTACTAGGGAATCCCACACCTTAATTATCGAACATTGAAATCTGAAAATATTACCTAACCACCATTTTGATGGGATACACGCCAACTCTAAGCCTCTTCTGTTTGGGTATGTTGTAGGATATTCTGCCACTGCTATTGGTGATCTCTGTGTCGAAATACACCCACCTGCCCGAAGAGGGTTCAGTCATAATAAGGATATCAACCTGTAAAAGTACAAACAAACAAAAACTATTACATTTGTTAGAATACAACACCCATCAGACTCCTAGCACATGCTAGACTGGCTCAGACCAGTAGTAGTTTAATATCCTGTCTCTGACAAGGGCCAGTACCAAATACCTCAGAGAAAGGTGCAAGAAACCGCACAGTAAATGGTTATGGGATAATCTGCCCACTGGACAGTTTTCTCATAACCCTCTATAGTTAGAGGGTGTTTTATGTCCTGAAGCATGAAGATCTATTATTTACCACTTTTTTTAAATTACTGGGCTCAATCTTGCAACATATTGAGTACTCTGGACTCCATCTTGTACAGCACTTAAGCACACAATTGCCCCTATTCAAGTCACCAGGGATTACTTCTACGCTGAGTGTGCTTAAGTGCTGTGCAGGATTGGGACCAGAGTGGGACCATCTTGCAGAATCAAGCCCCTAACTTTGCATATTCCTGTTATCCCTATAAATGTCCAGTTCTCTTGGCCTGAATGATGCCTTGTGGCAATGAGGTTTGACTACAATTAAATGCTAAAACCCTTTTGAAAGTTTACAACAGAAGTGTTACCAAAATCTACCAATGCATTTACCCCCCCTCCCTCCCCCTGCCCCCCTCCAGCTGCTTTTAGACTTCAGTGTGAAGTCATAGTTCTCATATAGACACACAGCAGGATGTTTCTGAGGATTTTGTTTTTCTAAGTCCTGAAACTTTCTATGGCCTTGGCTACACTCGCGGATTTACAGCGCTGCCGCGGCAGCACTGTGAAGCGCGAGTGTAGTCGTGCCGCCAGCGGCTGTATGTACTCCACCTCTCCGAGGGGAATAGCTTGCAGCGCTGCGAGCGAGCGTGCAGCGCTACAGGCACTGATTACACTGGTGCTTTACAGCGCTGCACTCGCTGCGCTCAGGGGGGGGGTGTTTTTTCACACCCCTGAGCGCAGCAAGTGCAGCGCTGTGAATTGCCCGTGTGGCCAAGGCCTATTGCTCACACTGTTCATTTTGTACCCTAAGTGGATTCTGTATCTGAATCTTTCAAGTACCCCTTAGCACAAGGAAGGAATGGGGAAAACATGAGAAAGTTTTGATAGCAATAAAGTGAGAAGAATCATTTCTCTACAGACAATTTTCAAAGGAGTAGTGGATCTATAAAGAAAGAAGAGATGTATTTTCTTTAGTGAATTACAGCTTGAACTTTATTTTATTCAATCATTCAGTTCTTCCCTTTTTCTTTTATAAAGATGGGGAAAAAATCTTCTGTGGTGTCAAAGTAAAAAGCAATTTCTCAGAAAAAGCAAACACAAACTCTTTGGTCTGCACTCTCAAACAAGTCTCCTCAATCATATCCATTCCACAGCAACGACTTTATGGTAGGAACATAAAATGCTACTGATTGCTATGTCTATTCACTGTGCCTCAGTTTCCCCATATAAAATGGAGAGAACAATGCTTGCCCTCCTTTGCAAAGAGCTTTGAGATCCTTAAATGAAAGGCGTTATGTACAAGTGCAGAGTGGTACTTTTTCATTGTGAGATTTGACAGCCCCCCAAATTAGAAGGTTAACTACACTTGCATGAGTGAAAATTCCACAGCCCAAATGAATTCTTCAAGGGAGTCGGAATGACAAACACTTCTTTTGCACCATTAAAGGCACGAGAGACTAATGACAGAATTTTATTACATCCTAACGCAAGCTTTGCTTTCCCCATTGCTGAAATGCAGCCCTTTCTGAGGCATGAATGCAGCAGCAAGGCAGACCACGGGCACACAGAACAATGTGGGGGAGGGAAGTGTTGTCAAAGGA